CTTTCGCTTTTTAAATTATCCAACTGATTAAACTTGGCAACACAATAATATATTGTTGCAGATTTACTCTGAAAGAGGTAGAAGGAGTTCTTGCATATCTTATTTTTTAAGGTTTCAGACCTGTCAATTTGTATGTTTTCCCCCCAAATCTGAATCGCACTGTGAACAAACTTTCGGTATCTTTGTTGACCACTGGCAAGCTCGGTTGTAACGGCGGCTTATCTGATTGGCTACTGTGAGAATGCGGAGCCAGCAAAGGGAAGTAATAAAATCATCAGCTCGAGCCGTAGATCCATCCAGGGTATAGTGGAGTTTTATCGGAACGTATACCCTGGAGTTATCGAGGATGGCCCCACCAGGTCCAGTGGTAGTTCCTCCCTACTGGGTTTTCTGAAAAAGATATTCCTCTGCCATGCAAGATTCATATTCTCTGCTTATGAATTGTTCTGAAACTTTAGACAAAGTGGAAGACGACTGTAAATCAAAACCGGCCAACATCAACATTATTGTTCCAAATAAAAATTGATTTCTTTCTGATATGTACAATATTGATTAACAGTAATGCTCTCTTCTACATTGTTCTTGTGTATTTGTAAGTGGCGGAGTCAGATGTTACATGGGCACATGCTATTGTCAGACATTGGATTAATTATGATCGAGTTATGTCTGAAGGAAGTTGTTTGGGAGTATTTGAAATAACATATTTTGGGCTTTTGGCTAGTAAGAGAAATAACATTTTCTAACTATTAACAAATGCTTCGCATGTTGATTTATGAATTGCAGCTTGTTTGAAAGGGTATGAAACCATCTGTATGATGGATAAAAAGCAAAAACAATATATAACATTGAGACTGTATTAACCATAACCTTCCTTGTATATTTTGATCCCATCTAACTATTGTCATAGTGCTGTAGTACATAAACATGCATGTAGTCTTTGAAATCTCTAGCATTAAAGTATAAGAATGTCAACTGATGAGAAGTGACATCAAGTGGACCAAACTAAGGAAGTGTCTGTGATTTCTGCCTGTGATTGTGAGGATAGGGACTACTTCCCCAAGGGAAGCTCCCTGTCGTTAAGCATAAGTGTATTGTGACTGGGGAGAGACAAAGAGGGATGATGACAGATGTAGGCAGCAGGTCACAATGGCTGCCTGTGCTGTAACTGTGATGTGCTTTGCCACTGTTTTATCAATAAACTGATATAGCATCATTATCGAGTTGTAGTTTTTGTCACAATAGCTCTGCTTCGTACAGCAAAGGAAAGGGTCACTCTACGTAGAGTTCCATGCAGCTAGCACAGTAACTCTGCTGCAGGCACCCGTCATGTGACTGTCAATTTAATACATCAGTCCATTCAGTATGTAGTGTATGATTTCAACTATTTCATTTTTGATGAGTCTACCACTAATTAGACATCTTTGATAGAATGTAATTTTTTCCACAGAGAAAATATCGTTAAACATGTAACATTAGTTCGATTTGCGTAGCTATCCTCTGAAGCCCTGCTGGCAATTTCGTGCCTGACTCGCAGAGTATGGGTTCGAATCATGATTGGGACTCAAACCAAAAAGTACTAGAATCTGTACTTTCTCGAGAAAGAGTAATCCCCAAATTAACATGTTACATTTGATGACTTTCTGAATGGCATTCAATATTCACCTTTTTGCTCCATGTATTCATTGGAGGACACAAGGTAGTCAGTGTAGGACTGGTTGTAGTTTCAATAGAGAATACTGTTGTGAGTATATAGAATACCCAGTGCTGTTTTGAGTACATGTGGTTTCATTCTTATATCAACAACAGAAAACAAAAGCACTGAGGTAAAGGTTTATTGTCAATGGCAGCATGAAATGATGAGTGAAGCTGAACACAATTCAGAGACAAGGGAACTTCAGACATGCACAAGTAGGTAGTTTATAAGCACAAGTTGTGTTATGTATATCACATGAGGGATACCAGATCTTTTCAGCTTGAATGGCACTACCATGGTTTTATAACCAGGCTTAGACATCTCCCTTCAAATACATGAAGTGAAGTAAACAAATTCAAAATGCCTAGTCTTAAATCATTTAGTTACTTAAATTACTAGTCTGATCAGGGTATTTGCAGATTTTACAAGCCAAAGCCAACAATCCGTATATAAAGAATTTTATTTTTGTTTCATTGTTCCATCTTGTATCGTAATGATACAACCAACAACCAAAAAACCCATGAAATATTACCTTATGAAGTAATAACTTATGAAAATGTTACAAGTATTAATACTTGACATCCTGATCCATAACCAATATTGGCTTTTTAGTTTTATCCCAATTCAAATGGCAGATCCATACACACGCCAAATATAAAGAAAAATTGAGTTACAAAAATATATTTTACTTGTATTTCAACCAACCCACAATAATTCTGTATACAAATATTGCTGGAAGGAAAATTCTGGAGTAAAGGAATTACATGCTTATTAACTGCGGAATCAAGGTTTAAGAGACAAAACCGAAATGTGAGATTTTGTCACTTATATTAATTGTTATTGTAGGTGGGGTAAGTGTGGAAGTATTCAGTTACCGGTATATTGTTCATCCATTTCATAAAAACACGTTTTGGTGAATCTTTGGTTGTTGCTCTTGTACAAAATAATATCAACATGAAACATGTTTTGTCAAATGAAGACTATCAGATGACTACTAAAATAATTACTAAAACAATTATTCATTGTATAGTCATGTCGTTGAGTTTCATCGCAGTTAGCCCAAAGCTAACGCAGCAAGAACTGAGGCTGAAAAATATTTCATCAGTGAAGAGTTGATCACATCAATTAGTACTGACAAAAAGAGAAATCAAATGAGCAATGCTCATCCTCCATGAACGCTGATGAACATGCTGTCAGTGCTTCAACATAAATCCATCCTCTGTTAACCAGGGTAATTAATCCCCATTGAATAAAAACGCCCTTGACCATTCACCACCTGTTTCGAACTCAACCTTGATAATTGTCCAGTTCAATACTGTCCTGAATGCTGCTAGCACGGTAGAGATAGTGCCATCACTTCCACAACAAATGTATGGTGTAAAAGGTCCAGGGTGTTTAATCTAAATAGAAACCCTGGATTACCGAGGATGATTTAAACCATACACAGGATAATGCATGGCCACATCAATAAATAAAGCACCCAGATGACTGAATGGAATGCAATAAATACTATATATACATAAATATTTAGCACCTCAGAGCACTGAACAAGAGCTGGAAATCGTGAATGGTGTTGATCTTCCACATGGAATCACAAAGAATCACAAAATGTAACCCAACTGAAACCGTGTTATTAATATCAAAGTGGTGGCTTCTACATTCTTCACATTGATACAGAACTACAGCACTCAAGCATTACTTAGTATTTGCAAATGAGTCCATTTTGTTTCTGCTTTTTGTCAATTAGAGTTTGATAATTTTCATTGAAGAGTTTTACTGGAGTTGCTGAATTGAAAAATGCCTGTACCATATTTTGATGTGAATACTTATTTGGGAGAATTCCATTCATAAAAACTGCCAGGTTTTAATCAAAGAAATATAATATCCTAAACAGGAAATAGAACAATTCCTTGGTCATCATCTAGTCTGTTGTTGTTATGCTAAAAAAATGACACCCTCATATGTATCACTAAAAAGAAATTAAAGAACACCTGATATGTCCATATGACTATGGTAAAATCATTAGGTCATGACATTAATCATGGTCATATGAGAAAAAATATTGGTATCTTTCCCCTTGAGTAGTATATGTAGTATATCATACGATCCCTAATCTGGGCATACACGCTGTGTAGACCCTGTGGACCAGACAATCCAGTGATCAAGACTGCGAGCATTGATCTATGCAATTGAGATAGGATGACATGTGTCAACAATCCCAATCCCATTAGTCGCCTCTTACAGCAAGCATAGGTTGCTGAAGACCAATTCTAACCCGGACCTTCCTGGGTATCCATAAGTGATGGAGGCAATTAGTGTAGTACAAAATGGTCAAGCCTTTACACCTAAAATTAATTTACCAAAAGTGATAGTCATTCTGAAAACCTACTTTGACTTTTGCATATTGTCAGTTTTCAGATGCTCCCCAAAACATACAACTGTGTGCTAGGCACTTTCTACTAATGACCATTCATTACATTTTCACAATCAGACACTACCTGAACACTTTGAGCACAATAAACAATAAATTAACAAGTTTCTGTACATGTGTAATGTGTACATGTCAAATTACATAATGCATTCAGTTTTAGTACACACAGTCTTGCTTCTAACATAGGTGTTATTACAACCTGACTACATATGCCTATTGTACCTGTCGTATGGTTTATCTGTAATCTAATTCAAGGTACAGGTTGTCCATAATTCTATCTAACATGCCTGTATATTAAAAATCAAAGACCCAAGTGAAGTATGGGTGAAAAATTTCATCCACAGCCTCTACCATTACATTTTTCTTTTTGAGTGAGTTTGGATTACCTTTAATTTGAACAATTTCTTTGTAAAATCATGATCGCAGTCATATGTGTCTGACTAGCCTAATGGTTTCAAGTCTGTATTCTGCCTTGGGCACTGTATGAGAAACTACCATCTGTATGTAATTCTTCAGTATCTTCAATGAATTGCTGTTCATATCAAGTGGTTGCGTAACTTTTCAAAATGTTGTATATTGTGGCTACTGACAAAATAAACCACACTTGCAACCACACTATTTTGAACAATGTAATTAAGGACATGACAATTACTGTAAAATAGGTCATGCCATGACCACACATGTCTGTTTTTCAAACATCAATATTTTCTTAATTAAAAAAATTATGTATTTGAATTAATAACATATGAATATTCAGTAAACCAACAAATGATAAGTAATACCCTTTGCAAAATAGATCTAAAAGTCTTAATCAATAAGAATGAGTGGGTATGAGTGGTAGCGGGAGACACCAGAAATGGGTTTCACACATTGTACCCATGTGGGGAATCGAACCCAGGTCTTTGGCATGACAAGCGGACGCTTTAACCACTAGGCTACCCAACCGCCCCTTAATCAATAAGAAAACAACATATGGATAGACACAGCAACTGGTCCATTATTAGGATGAGTTAAAACAGAGACATAGGTCTTTCTCTGCAAAATCAAGATTTGTAACAAAACATTCATCTTAATAAGCTGTGATGGCAGATGTCTTACTTATAGTGTGACAGCTTAAAATGAAAAAACTCCTTTTATCAGTGGAATGACCAAATATTGAAAATATGACAAGAATAATTAACATACATAATGCAGATGGTGCTAACAATATCGAATAAATTACTGGAAGATAATAAACTCTCACCATATGAAGCATGGAATGTGCATAAAACTTTATCCCGTGTTTGGACCAACTACTTCATAAATATTTGGTGATGTACAACCATAGAAGTTTGCCATGTTCAAGAACAGTCCAGAAAACAAGGGTGAACCATATTTCAGTACAAAGTTGCTCATTTAAAATGCCCATGTGAATATTTAATCACAAAGATAATCAGTGCAAACCTTGGATTAAAATAACAAATCATAGGTTTCTGGCAAGTCTAAGGCCCTCAACTGTTCACTGTGCATTGCGGCATCTACGACCCCCAAACTGTTTACGAGGGCATACAGTATTGGAATGTTACAAACCATGCTATATATAGACTAATAAGTCTTCATACATTGTTATATAGTCGACACTTACAATAAACATTAGTGCCTATGGAAGACTTGCTCTTACAGTTTCAGGAAATACAGGCAAAATATTTATTTTTGTTGTTTTGCAAATTTTTGCAAGTGAATCTCCTTAATGCCAAGATTCAAGGCAGGCACGACTAACAGCCATCATCTCTTAGCATCCTAACATGTCTTGGCATCTTGACATCAATCCATATCTATCCACCTTTGTTCATCCAAATTGATCCCTTAAATAACCTCAATACTTCCATGAAGCATTTACATCTATATCTCTTACAAATGCATCATTTTGGGCTGGAAAACCATTACTTTTAAAAATATTTGCATTTTTTTAAAGGACACTATGTGTCATTACATAGTCATTACTCTTGAAATGAATCCTCTCCAAATCTTCAAAGTATAATAAAATCATAACTGTTACATTTAATCAAATGTACAGTCTGGAACTGCAATAAATATATAAATAAATAATGTGTACATATAGATACATGTGCATGATAATTCTGTGCAACGTTGTCAACTTCAGGTGATGTTCTGATGTAACTTGCACAGATACTTATTGTACCCAGACCGTGTATATAAGTCAAGCAAATCATTGCTCAGTGACACACAAAGGGTTCAGCTACCATGAACCTGGTTATCTCGAAATTTAACATCGAAATAATGAATAACCAGATTCATTCAAGAGACCCAACATTCTGTGCTGTAATTTCATCTTCAAACTGCTGTTTCCGGTGGTCAAAATAAGAATTGATGTCAATAGGTCATCATTTTAACGTTTGCTCATGTACTTATCCAGTAATGCTATTTCTGAAATGGACAATCAGTAATTCGAAACACCATTTCTATTTTGGTACTTGTTTGATGATGACTCCCATTGCTTTTGCCTCCTCCGAGGTTGGGAGCACCACATTCATACTGAGGCTGTTGCCACGGGAACAGACATAGGTCTCTGACCTATCCACTTGGGATCACCTTTTCTTCCTCATCAAAAATCACCAGTGTTGCCTGGATCCTGGCCTCACCATTGATGAGCGCCGACTCGTGAGAGTAGATCTGTATGGTCCATCCATCATTGTTTGTGTTGCTCTTTCTGTACGTGATCTTCCACTCTCCATCTTTGTTGTTAGAGGGCACTGGACCAACGGACGTACGGACATCAACTTGAATTCCAAACCTGAGTGTGTTCTGCATTCGGACTGTGTCCACGGTAAGGTCTGTGTAATCCCGAGGCAAGAAATATGGCTTCTCAAAAGAGATTTCAAGTTCACACTGTGCAGGACAGAGAGAGATCGGTAACGGTAGGCTTGACTGACGAGCTCCATGAGCTGTGATTTACACTGACGGTCATCAAGGTCAAGGTCAGCATCAGTTTCGATCTTATACAGCTGTTCAACCTGCATCTGTGGGAAGCGGATCAGAGGAAGGAGTTCCTTGGCGTAGTCACAAAAGTTGCCTACATGGTTCTCATGAAGTAGCCAGCTCCTCACAGCTTTGTAAAGATGGAACTCGCTCGATACGACTAAATCCGAGTTGTGTAAAATGTCTGACACAAACTCAATGTCCATGCTGTACCACTCCGGCAGCATCAGCAGCGTCTCCATGTTCCATGCTATCGTCTTGGAACACTGGTCAATCAGCTCTTCCATGTTGAGAGCCTTGGCCCAGGAGTACCAGTTCAAGGCGTTCCTGACCTTGGGCGATCGTGTGTTGTCGACCATGTAGCGTGTACACAGATGCTTCAAAGACATCACACTGTACTTGTCTGCAAGACACAGGATTCCAACTGCCGATTCCACGCTGATGTTCACTTCTGCTGTGTACAGGAAGCGGAGGAATCGGTCAAAGTGTTGCTGGCACTCTGGGCTTTCGTTCAGCTCCACTTCAGGTTTAATAGGTTGTGTCCATCTGCTCTCATACAACATGGCCCGGAACACCTCGCTGGACTTGGCCAACACAAACTTGTGTGCGTAGTAGGTGTCCTTTCCTACTTTGAGCTTGACGTCACTGAGCGCCTCCTGGTTGTAGAACTGTGACACCCCCTTGATGAAGTCCCCCTCGTCCCGCAACACGTGGCTGTCCTGCTGCTGCAGGATCCCTGGGGTGATTTCACCATCCATCTTCTGAAACAGTTCATGGTCATATGAATATAAAGTAATTCTGTGGCATTTCACTGGCTAACCAATCAAATTGGGGCTTATATTTTCATAAACCAAACAAAATATTGACCAAACATACCATATATTACCATATATAAGCCAATCTCATAGATAAATCAACCCCCTAACTTGACCCTTGAAATCGTCTCTCTTGTTCATTCACGCAAAGCGATACGATGTTGTTTTCTTACCCCCTGAAAAAAAGTTTGACGAAAGTGTAACCTGTAGATAAGCATTTTTAGAGGTATCAATGAAAATCAAAACAAAAAAAACCCCACTGTGCTATGAAGATTTACACAGTACACATCATTTTGTATCTCACTCAGATCACCTGCTAATTTCCATGCTATCCTCTCGGAACACAGGTCAATCAGCTCTGCGAGTGGGATATTCTATTGCATGTAAACCTCAAGCGCCTGATCTCAAGCGCCACGCACAACTTTTAAAATACTTTTTTAGCTTACTTGTAACCATCAGTAGGGTACACAGTAACTTGTAGAAGATCACTATAAGTGGTGGTCTTCATCAGATTCACCACTTGGGTGTGTTAAGTCCATCAACTTAACAGGCCATTTGTTTTGTTACCATGTGTGTTGATTTGATTTTCAGGAGAGGAGAGTACAGGAGTAAGAAAGCCCTGATTCAGAATTTTCGAAATATAACTTATTCTGTCCAATTTGTAGTGTAGTAAAGTATACTTTTTCCCTGAACTATCATAGTTATAGTATTAGGCCTCAGGAGTTATTGGATGGAGGCAGTATTGGTTTTCAAGTGGCAGACTGTGCAGGTGGTGTTTATCGATTGAGACCTTGAAGATTCATCAATAATAACATCATATTTCATGTAGAGTTATGAACTGCCTAATCAATCTGGAGCAGGGGGAATATTACAGTTTTTGTGACAATGCCATCTGTCACACTTGTTAGCTGATTAATAAATTATAGATCTGCCTTGGAATTTCAGCTTTGGTGGGAAAGAGAAGTCAGTGACACACTTGTATGCATACTCTCTCTCTGTCTCTCTCTCGTTAACATGCACACACACACTCATCATATACAGATGCGTCACATCACAGATATCACATCATGCCCATTACACACATACACATTCATTCATCATTCATCCATTCATCATTCAATCATTCATTCATCCATCCTTCATCCATTCATTCATTCATTCAAGCACACATCACACATACATCACCCACAATCAAACATTGCAGACACACTAACAATCACACATCACATTAGTCACACATACAAACACACACATCATGACACACATACAAACACACAGTGTCATCACATTAGACACACCAGAGACCATATTTATTATATGGTCTCTGGACACACACATCACAACACATAATACACACACATTACACACATACATACACATCAGTCACACACCTAAAACTAACCTACAGAAATAAACCACTCAAAATCATAAGCACAACTACAAAATCTTACCTAGCGTCTCCGACCCATAAAGCAACTTACAGTAGTGGTGTACAGTTCCATGATACGGAATGAAAATATGTATCCAGGTTTCACAAGTCCATTCTAAATGAGTGAAACTACCGACCTAATGGCACCCGAAGTGGGAACTGCCAATCTAATGGTACCTATTATTACAAAGTAAACCTTTCTCTGTACCTCCCACAGCTACCAGACAAACTGAACATGACTTTATCAAAGACACTTGTCACACTCATTGTGGGTGTCTGTTACAAGCTATATATCATCTGACAAGCTGCCTGCCAGAACGTCAGCTGATTGTCAGCTGATATGGTGCCTGTTACATTCAACGAGCACAGGGAGATTCCTCTTCTCAACAGAAGCCTACAAAATCGTTTATTATGGGGCCACCATGGTAATTGTGTGTGTTGAACAGAATATGTGTCAGGAGTACCAGTTGCTCAGAACAGCGTATTCTTAACATATGTTATTAGGGCAGACCATAGACTAACGCTTAGTCTCTGAATATATATAATTTTGATAGTAACAAACAAGCCCATTTCAATTGAAAAGGAGCCCTAGAAGGACCAGAGATTCAGAACCTGAGGAAATCTAGACTTGCTTCATTTAGGGCTTTAGCACTGCAGAGAGGGCTTGGCAGTAGGGATATAAATGTGGTCCAGGGACTGTGAGACAGACTAGGCAGACCACAATAACTTTGAGTTTCACAAGCTAATTGAATACTTTACAAAGTAAACAAAACATGCTGTATCTTAGTGAATTTTAATATTTTTGTTCCGTTTTGCGGGAAGGATGGGGTGGGAAGTATTTATTCAATAACCTTATATCAACCCTGATTAAGTGGGTATGGTTTTACACCTCTTTGACACATTCCAGCAGTATGATCCCTGAAACAAACACCTAAAATAGGCTTCACACATTGTACCCATGTGTACCCACAAAAGTGAATTAATTAAAAATTATCATATTTTTTTGTGTATAACACACACTTTTTTCCAAAAAACATATCTCTGTAGAGGGGAATTTGCATTATACATGCAATTGAATTTTGATATTTTTAAATGAGCACATGACCCTGTAAATACTATGCCAACAAATCCGAAACCAAATAAGCTATTAATTTAATTCAATTTCACTGGATGGTGATATAAAGTGTTCATTGTATATCATGACTTATTTTAGTAGTCTTTTTCATTAATCAAATTCAAAATCGCATTCAATATTGCTCGTATTAAATTCATCCAAATCACGTTTGAAGTAACAACAGTGCCCATTTCCTCACCATTATGTACAGTTACCAGTCAGATTAACACTGTTCATGACTTGAAACAAACTTTAGTTGACAGAGCAAGGACATATTTATCATAAATGCCATAATTTAACTCGTTTCAAGTCATATTTGTCTATTACTAAATATCCCCCACATCCACGCCCTATAGGTAATGTTCCACCCTACTCTTCACAGTGTCCCACCCACTACACACATACAGCAATGGTGTTGCTACATGCATGAATGGGTCTGAATGAAAGTGTAGTTAAAGATGATGTCATCGACAAATGTGGAGAAGACCAACAAAGGATGACATGCACGGGTGACTCGTGACAGTCTTAGTGAGTGAAAGCCAAAACAATCTGTGACAACATCATCAAAGAAAATGACATGGAAGGAATATCAGTGTTTCACTTTTCTCACACATCACTGATGACCCGTGACGTGAATCATGGGACTCAACATTTATTTAAAATTAACTTATTAATAACAAGATGTTAAGGTTGGTTGGGTTGTTGTTTAATGCAGCATTCAGTGATATTCCAGCTACATGGCGATAGTCTGTAAATAATTAATTCTAGACCAGACAATCCAGTGATTAACATCATGAGCATTGATCTACGTAATTAGGATATGGTGACACATATCAACCAAGACAGCGAGACTGACCACCCAATCCCATTAGTCGCCTTTTGTGACAAGCAAGGGTTGCTGAAGACCAGGTCTAACCCCGATCTTCATTGGTCAGATGTTAAGGTGTTTTGTTCAGAGAAACACGCATTGAACAAACTATTTCTGAAAGGCTTAAACCATCTAACATGTTACTGGTGCACATATATAATTTGTCCTACCTTGTGCTTAGACATGAAGGGATAATATAAGGACTGGTTTGCTGGGAGTCAGTAGAATATGTCTGAGTTGGGTATCCATGTTAAACTGTGCTATGATATCTCAATGGGTGGTATTTAACAAGGGTAGGTCCAGACTAGTAGACACACGTGCTTACATGTTGCTAAAATAATCTTGAATGCTATTTCACCTCACTTCACATATTCAATGCCTACATTATTCATGGATAAATTACATCTACATGACTGTGTGAAAAAGGAACTGAATGTGATGTATTTTATTTAATTAATGCACCATAATATATATTTTACGCACCCCTTTATAGACATAGTGGACTTGCAAACTGAATCCCTTCTTCATCGACATGATCCTTATAATGGAAACCTTTTCTACTCATCATAGTGTGATTGTCAGCCATTGCCTCACTTTGTCAAGTAACTACTGCCTTAGAATATCGGCCTGCAGTGAAAACAAGTTCTTTGAACTCCACATCAAGGTAAACATTGCTCGTGCTCAAGTAGTAGACCCAGCTGTCAGGGGAGCACCACCTCTCTGAAGCATACTAAACGAATAAATGTATCCAAAAATTTATAAATCATTAGGTGATGTGGTTCATCAAAACAAACTAACATACGGTGCATACTGCCATTCTGTTTCACCAATATAAGCATTTTTTCTGGCATGTTGTATGTTGCGTGAACCCCCTTTCCATAAATCCACTCACTTCAGGTAACAAGAAAACAAATTATTATATAAGTTTAATTATCAATGTAACCAAATTTTCAGAACAAGAAAATTATTACCTTTTACAGATCTTCTGTAAAATAAGGACTTAATCTTGCCTATGATATCTATGAGGACAGTGCTGTCCCCATTGTACTTTCTACATGCCAGATTCTTTAACAGTTTGGTGTTATTTCTACTTAGACCACATGCCAGATATCTGATAACAGTTAAAGTCTAAACTTCACAGTTATGCAGAAAAGTAACTTGGAACCAGTGTATCTCATCCATAGTGTACTAAAATGTATCTAAAATGTTCCAAAATAACAAATAGTGATATTCCAGCAATAGTCCAGCAATATCGCGAAGGGGGACACCAGAAATGGGCTTCCCACACTGTACCCATGTGGGGAATCAAACCCAGGTCTTCGGTGTGACAAACAAACACCTTAACCACTAGGCTACCACAACACCCAAAATAATAGGGAGGAAATAGATTTCCTTTGTTTCGCACAAGATTATCCTGGGAGCAGGATTTCCAAATTGTCAGAACCCATTCGGTCCAGACTGACATTGTCAGGACCCATTCGGTCCAGATTGACACTGTCAGGACCCATTCGGTCCAGATTGACATTGTCAGGACCCATTCAGTCCAGACTGACATTGTCAGGACCCATTCGGTCCAGACTGACATTGTCAGGACCCATTCGGTCCAGAATGACATGGTCAGGACCCATTCGCTCCAGACTGACATGGTCAAGACATTGGGTCTAAAAACGTTTTGTGTATTCATAGGGTCCAGATTAACAAGGTTACACTGTAAACCCTGAACACATACATCTTCTACTCCACTGACTAAGTACACCTGTCATGTTAATTACAGGTAGACTAATGGCTGTTACCTGGGTCAGCTGGGAGGTCAGCACTTCGTGTGTCATTAATTACTTGTCCAGATAACATACACAACAGCCTGTGTTAGCCACTGTTCACACTGAATCATGGCCACAGCTTACACCAGCTGAACATAGGCATGTGGTTTAAGGAAGTATAAGTATTCAATATGGGGAAGTATTTGTATTGAAAGTTTCTATTGAAAATGTGAAACAAATTCTTGGTGGAAAGGAAAGGAAATCAAATCAAAATTTAAAAATCAAAATTACTGAAACCACTTTATCATGATATGCACAAAAAAGTGTTCCGTGTTTTTCTATTTGTATTAGTGAAGCCAGAATCATATTCTTTCAATTTTGCAGTAATATCTGAAGTCCTCTTACATGCATAACTTAGTCTGCCTGGAAGACATATTGCTCCAAAGTAATCTCCTCTTTTCCAAAGACAGACTGCCTGGGTATTTTCTAACATCCAACATTAAATCAATGAAATCAAAATTATTCAAACATTAAACTAACACACACACACACACACAAAATATCTCTCACATGCACAAACTCACATACAATTTACTCAAAATCTCTTTTTCTCTGTCTTACTCTCTCTCTCTCTCACATACACACACAAAATCTCTCTCTCACGCACAAACATACAAAATCTCACTCACACACACACACACACACAGAGTCTCACACACAGAAACACACTATCACACACATGCACATACACTCACAGAAGCACACACACTTACACATTCAATATCTTAATCTAAGTATATGAAGTATATAAGAATATGAACATGAAGACAATAGTGTGAAAAACAATATAATCTTACTTGTTCAGTAGTAAGCTTCATGCTTGAGCTAATGGCACTGCCAACAGCTTGGTTCTCAATAATGGCATTGCTAGGTACACAAAGGTCTTGTTCAATGTATCATATTCTCCATTCGTTTTTTTGATATAATGGTTTCTCATGGTATCTCACAACACCAACACAATATAAGGAGGGGTAGCCATGAGTCACACAGACTGAATCCCAGTCTCTTATAATGATATGAATAATAACAATTAACCATTACCTTAACTCAATAAAATTATCACTATACAAAAAATATCAAAATATTTATTTGATCCCTCAGTAGAATATATATCTCGTACCTATAGTACCTAATCACGCACTTATCTATTTGTCGGTTTTGGAAATGCCGCTTGAAGCAAGTCTACCGGTACCTGCCAGTCACTTCAGAACGCTGAAATGCAGTCTTGACATCAAAGGTGACTGTATTGCCCATATATACACCAAGCACCCATTCTTTAACTGGCTACTGTCTTTCTGTTGCTGCATAAACAACTCATAAAAGTGACACTGGGTAAACCTGGAAAACCATTGAACATTGACACAAAGTGGCGATCCTCCCTACAATGTATGTTATGAGTTCCTGGGTGGCTTAATGCAACAACACATTCCGAAATAATGAACTCTCTGGACTCACGGCTCACTGCATTGCTCTACGCTCGAGAAGTCAGTAACACTGAATACTTAAAGTCAGTTTGTGAACTTCATCAAATCGGTTGATATTCTTTAAATGGTGATCCAGAAGGTGATGCCAAATATTGGCACTGTGGTTCACCTTAATTTATAGTAACTGGTTCCATCCCAACAGATAAACACTTATTTGCTGTTAGAATTGATATTCAAATAGGCTTTTGTGTAGATACTGAGTGAGTGAGTTTAGGTTCACGCCAGTTATAGCAATATTACAGCAATATCACAGCAGGGGACACCATAAATCGGCTTCATCACAGCAGGGGACACCATAAATCGGCTTCACATACTGTACCTATGTTTGGAATGAAACCTGGATCTTCGGCGTGATGAGCAAATTTATTAACTACAGGCTACGTCACTGCCCTGTGTAGATATTGAGGGATGGAGACTAAACAGTGACACTACAATGTAGGGATTGGAACAAAATATTTCATCTCCCTTAGTCTGACAAACTCATGGGAGAAGCAAGTGGCTTCAGAGCCTGATAAGATTGTAGAGATAATGTAAAATCATTGTCAAAACAAAGCCAGTAATACAAATATTTCAAAATATTCTACATGTTGATCTCAGAACCTACTAAATAATAAGAACAATTTGTATTATTTATTACTAAATTGGGCAAATATTGGCCATAAATATGTTACAGGCAACTTGAAATGTATACTTCTCAGGAAGCTGAGAACTAAAGTCAACTGCATGATCTGATCTAGATCACAATTATTTTTGTTATTATTCTTAGTATTTTCAATATCAATGTTGTTGTCATCATCATCATCATCATCATCATCTGTCCATCTTTCTGTGTTTTCTACCGGTCAGTCCATATAAATATTGCAAAAAAATCTACATGTAGATCTCACAACCTACTAAATAATAACAACAATTCATATTGTTTATTACAAAATTGGTCAAATATTGGCAATAAACATGTTACACTTACAGGCAGCTTGGAATGTATACTTCTCTGGGAGTTGAGAACTAAAGATCTGATCTAAAGGTAATAATTATGGGTAATAATCATTTATTAATTGTATGTACTTTTTATATCAATGTTCTTATCATCATCATCATCATCATCATCATCATCATCACCATCATCATCTGTCCATCTTCCTGTGTTTTCTACCAGTCAGTCCATGTATACATTGCAAAAAATCTACATGTTGAACTCACAACCTACTAAATAATAACAACAATATATATATTTTATTACTAACTTGGGAGAATATTGGATTGTATACTTCTTAGGGAGTTGAGAACTAAAAGTCGACTGCACGATCTGATCTAAAGGTAATAATTATGGTAATAATTATTTATTATTCTTAGTATTTTAATATCAATGTTCTTATCATCATCATCATCATCATCATCATCTGTCCATCTACCAGTGTGTCCTACTAGTCTGTCCATGTACATATGTCCTGCTATGTCCATCCATCAGGCCATCCGTCTGTCCCCATGACATGTCCCACCTGTAATATAGACACAACGTGGCTACCTGTAATCGCCAACCACCTGTCACTGTTAGAACCGCAGATCTCACCTGTAAGACCGCTGTCGTCGTCCCCCAATCAGCTGACTGTGAGTCAGAGAGCAGAGTCTCTTCCTGCCCGTCTCCCTCACCCTCTGTTGGTCTTGAGGGCTGGGCTTCAGCCATCTTGTCAGTGTTTAATTACTGGTTCAGTCAGAACGTGACAAGCAGACGACGACCCACTGGGCTGGTTCGGCCACTACCCGTGGAGAGGACAAGATGTTAGTCAGTCGATGATGCCACTTAGGCAGTAAACAGACTATCAGCGAGCTGTATCGATCATCCATGACAGCTTAACTCGGTCACGTCACGGTTTGATTCCACAATACATTAGAACCAGGTGTTTATACCTCATACATATTGTTAACATCGATCGATCCAAGCCACTGGTGACCTTAATTGTCTGATAGGTGGCTTTTCAAACTTCATTAAGCACATGCTGTAACAAGGAGACAGTGATGTTGCCAAAACTGGTCTTACCGTGAGACTATCAGCTGTCTATAACTGACTGCATAACATCAAAAGGTTTCTACTGTAAGCAATTTCAAATTTGTCAATTTTAAAAATTAATAATAAATTAACCCAGATGATATGTAACATTATACCCAAAGTCTAAATATAACCATGTAATCCTTGTTCTTATTTTATTGCACAATTTCTTAGAAAGATTTTGAAATGAAAGTTTAGACAAAGGTAAACAAAAACATCTGTTTGAAATATTTTTTCTTCAAACATTTTCTAATATATATTATTTTTAACATATGATGTGAATCTGAAAAAAGTTGTTTGAATAAAAATCTATAGGCAAAGACAACTATATACAATTTCAAAATCTATAATTATAGTGACTATAATAATAATAATAATAATGAGAATATTTATAACGCGCCTTTTCCAGGCTAGATATCCTGCTCAAAGCGCACAATCTGATCATTATTACCCCGGATAATAGTAATTGATCGTTTCTTAAAAGGTATATAAAAGTTACAATTATGTCAATAAACACCAAATTACAAAGAATGTCTTTGCCGCAAAGAAACTCTATGATCATGAATGGCCTTGACACTAAAATATCAACCAGATCATCAATCATTACTAATTCTAGGCACACAAAGTGAATGTGCGTGTTTCACAAGCAATGTGATCGTCACAACGCGTCACCATGAATTTAACAACATCTCTCAACCCTAAACAAGTAGGAATTTCTCGGTCAGCTGAGTTTGCTTAGCAAGGCGTAATAGCCGTAATAGCTGACCCACTGACCTCAGACGCTGTTGTCAAGGTTACCAGGTGTTGTCAGGACACGTTAGTACTTGAATCAATACCTATGTGCCATTTGATTAAGGTTCTTCGACAGGTACAGGTGTTTGATGTGACTGGGCCTGTCTGAATCAGTCATGTTTGATCTGTTGTTGGACCATCAATCTTGGACCAAACAAGAAGAGGAACACTGAAGGACATAGTGCCAAACTTTAACCTGTTAACACTTACTAAAAAGGTTTGAAAATACATGTATTGGCAATACAATTTCTCATTTGAAATATAGAATCCTCAGAGATGTATTTTAGGACAGACCAATGCCTTGTGTCTTGTAAACAAGACTTACCTAAACACTGGAAAAGTAAGTAAAGGTAAGCAAAGAAAAATTATTATGGACAAATAATAAGTGATCATTTTTTTTAATATATATTTTTTTATATTTATATTTTATTTTTTAATATATATATATTTATATAGCGGTAATATCCAGATCACCTGCTCAAAAGCGCTTTGTTCTAGTTCTATTTAATCATCTATTTAAACAACTATAATCCAAAAGTGTCAAAAAACATTTTGCCCCTACACAACACTATATAAATAAAATAATTCACGGTATCATTTAAAATCTTTACATATATATGCTCTGACTTATAAGGAAATTAACCAAACTTATTGCTATTGCATGACAATCTTGTGGTGTTACAGAGATACAGTTTTGCGTAAGTATTTTTTCGTTGCATAGAAATCAAACTTTGTTTGTATTTTTGTATTTAAATAGATCCCTACCCTGACAACACTTTGTAATTTTGCATTTTCCTCTATGCAAAATTTACAAGTAAATACATAACTATAGAAACATAATTTTCTCTGGCAATGCAAATTTTTGGGCCATATTTCATAAACATTTCACAATTAGTTAATTATTCACAAGCAAATGTCATATTATTCTTATATCAAACCTCCATGGTTTTTTTTACTACCTAAACAGTAAAGTACTCCAAAAAGCATCAAATTTAAACAATACAGTAAACTTTCACATGTTTATTTCTTATATTTTCCATTACTCTGATCTAGTGTCACAGATACAGCGTCTCATGTAGAGACATTTTTCTGTTACATTTTCTGACATACATATGTACTCGTTGACTCGGAAACAACCGTCAACAATTTATCAACTAGATTTTCCAGTCTGTAGCCACTGTAAAGGTATGCAAGAATGTACTTTACCCCAAATAAACAAGCAGTAACCTGGCTAAACTGGAATAGGTGGACACTATCCACCAGGGGCTCGTTTCACAAAACGATCCTAGCGCTACGACTGTCGTAAGTCTATGTTAAAGTATGGGAGTTACGATCACCTTAGCACTACGATCACTTTGTGAAATGGGCCCAGAAAGATTCAACCAAAATCACAGTCAGAGTGATAAACAAATTTCTGAATAAATAGTTCATATGGAAACAGCCAATTCTTATCACAGACGACTTAGCATACGATTAACATTTCCTTTGACAGTGAACATACAACATTATGAATATGTATTTGAGAACTGGATTGTTGATATGATGTTCAACACAACGGTTGGCATGGTGCCAAATTGTATTCCGCTCCTCTCTGGCCATGCGTTCGATGACAATGTTAAGTATATGTTTGTGTGTCAGCTGATGCAAGCAGAAATTAAAGACCAGTACTAATGTTGAACCTAGCTCATCCTTTATACAGGTCAACTGTGTAAAGTAGGCCATCGCGACAAAACTGTGTCACTTACATCAGCAAAGAAGTGGGTTACTTTCTAACAATGAAAACTTGGATCAATACAGGAGTGACACGTGTTATACTATTTACACTGTTGATGTTATTTACATTACTCCAGTTATCATACCCACAAATGAGACTATTTGTCAGAAGACTAGCTCAGTTTTGGATCATATTAATATGTACATAAATAATCATAAATGTGAATTAGAGAGATTTTAGTTAAAAAATACTTCGAACAGCATTTCTGTTATATGACATGTCAGTTTACTTTGGGAGGAGAGCTAGACTAACTCTTACTCCCGAATATATATAATTATTATAGTAACAAATAAACCCATTTAAATTGAAAAGGAGCCCCAATGAGTTGGGAGCTTCAGCTTGGGAAATCTAGACTTGCTTCATTTAGGGTTATAGCATTGCATGGAGGGCTAGGCAGTAGTGGCAGTTTTAGAAATGGTGAAGTATCGGGATACGTATCGTATCGCCACCATTGTATTGTGATGATAATTGCCTCGCAGGTTCCTCGCCAAGACTTTCATGATATATCGTCTCACCTCATTAAACTGCTATCTGATATATCGTCTCGCCACTTAGGCCACGATACACAGTTCTACTAGGCAGTAGGGACAATAATGTGGTTCAGGGCTGTGAGACAGACTAGGAGGAGAGTCTAAGGTGATACAGGTTTCACACATTCGACCTCACAATGATAGGTTTCTGGCGTGCTCAAGGGATACAACTCTGCAAAGTTAAGTTGCAGCTCCTCAGATGACTAGGCAACCTGTTCCCAGTACAAAGACAAGTTGTGATAATATCAAAAACATCACATGAATTTATTTAATCAATAACTGTGCACGATGTGACCGCAATATGAATAATATCAGTGAACTCATTTGACATAATAACTAAACATTGCATGAGTTTGTTCAATCGATAGTGTCCATGATGACTCGTTAGGCACCTGAATGAACGCGAAATTAAAATAATATTTATGAATAAAACATTATGATTTGAGCGAAAACATTTTTCACTGAATCTAAACATCAAATTAGTTTGTTCTATCAATAGTTCATTGTAAAATGACATCGTTACACAGATACGATAAAAGCATAAATATCACCAATTTGGAATACACTTTGCAAGAAATGGCCAAACGACACATCCTCATCTTGGGCCTTCTGAAAACACATGTCTCAAGAACAACCAACCCTTTATGTAAGACAATAGCTGTGGTTCCATAGTGGTAAAAAAGTACCGGTAACACTTTTTGTTGTATTCCATCTTGATGACAGCCGTCTATTTCTTACTGAACACATGAGTGAGTGAGTGAATGAGCTCAGTTTTACGGTGCTTTAAGCAATCATGAGTCCAGCAATACCATGGTGCAATATCACCAGATATGGGCTTCACACATTGTAGCCATGTGGGGAATTCAAACCGGGTCTTCGGCGTGATGAGTGAACGCTTTAACCACTAGGCTACCCCACCACCCCAAGTGAGTGAGAGAGTATGGTTTTAAGCCACTTTTAGCAATATTGCAGCAATATCACGGAGGGGGACACCAGAAATGGACGTCACACATTGTACCCAAGTGGGGAATCAAACCCGGGTCTTTGATGTGACGAACAAACGCTTTAACCACTAGGCTACCCCATCGTCTCTGAATTAAGATTAAAGTCTTTGGGGTAAAAATAAACAACAACAAAATTAAAATTAAACCTACCCATTTTCGTTTTTAAAAAGGTAAGAGAAGAAGGAATGTAGACATAATTCCACCAAATCAGCACAGTGTAATAATACCAGCTTTGGCCTCCGGCCTGGAGAAGTAGAGTGGTAATTACATCAGTTACGGTTCATCCCAGCTGGAACTAGTCATACATGATATATGTACTTACAGACGGATTTACATAAACTACTTGGATTACACCTGGCTACAACATAGATACTGGGAAGAAAGCAGCTATATCAATATGAGTTTTGTCACACTACACTTCAATGATTTTACTTATTCATAACCTACCATGCGGGTATAGAAACATGAATACAGGACACCCTCTGACTCATCTTCTACTCATAGTTGGCAAATATCAGTGGCATGGCACCTTCAATGTACATATTTGTTGGCATTGTACATTGACACAAAACCTGGATTTGTCAGTAGAGGGTTCCAAGTGGTTTATTTGATCATTCAGTCCAAGAAAATGAATTTTGGCCCAACACCTTACAGATATGATTTTTAAAGTTTTCAAGTATAAAATATTATACTAATAGAAGTAAATCACATTTTGGAACAACTCAATTTGTGTTCTAAGCAAACTGTTCTGTCTACACTGTACAACTACCTGAAAGGAATTTAGAAGTTGGACAAACATGAATACATAACACGCTTTATTCATAACAACTTCTTTATATTCTGAT